GGGGCTCGGGGGGCTCGCTGCTGCCGGTGAGACCCAGCAGAGCAGGAAGACTAGTGATGGGGGAGCACCAGCTGCTGCCGGTGAGACCCAGCAGAGCAGGAAGACTAGTGATGGGGGAGCACCACCAAGCAAGGGCTTCGCTCCTGCAGGGACGCAGCCAGCTTCAGGCTTGCTCCGGGTGTCCTGGCATCTGTGACGGCGCAGAGGTGTCCATGCCCACGCAGGGCCCTACCTGAGATTGCTGCTGAGGTCGTAGCACCCTTGCCTGCCTCTTGCCTCCCCTCCTCCAGAGGCCCCTGGAGAGGGCTTGGCAGACGCCCCCCCTTGACATGCCTCCATCCTCAAGGCCAAGGTCTAACGGGTGCCCCTTCACCAGCGGCATCCAGCCTCAAGGAGCTCAGCTGAACCGGATACAGGGTTCTCCATGTCACCCTGCCAGGGCTGCATGGGAATACGTGTGCTGGCCAGCATCTGCAGCCTCCATCAGCAACATCCTTCTTGCCTGCTGCCAGTCCTGGTGGAGCAATGGATCATCATGGTGGAAACCAAGAGGCTTGGTGATGTCACCTGCTGGGGACGGGGATGGGTCCCGGCAGGTATGTGTCATATCCAACGCTGCTGTGGTCCTGCTGGACACGCTCCACCACCAGCCAACTCCCGACACAGTGGTCAGGCTGATCCTGGCCCTGCATCCACGGTGGGGAGTCACCGCTGACCCCATCAGTCCACGAGTGGAGGACCCACTAAGCACTGCCTGCCCTGCAGGGCCATCCCACCGCCAGGTAGCCCCATCCGTCACTTCCCAGGCCCTGTCCCCGGTGCGTGCTCAGCTCCCGCGGCCAGTCCGACCCCGTCTCAGGGGGAGCTGCTGTCCTGGCGTCCACCGCCCAGCTGCCCCAGGGGTCTGGCACGCGAATTTGGGTGGGAGCTGAACGGGGCAGGGGGGAGTACAGCTTTGGGACTGGCATCGTGGGAGTGAGGGTGGCATCTGCCTGGGACATAGGTAATGGTACTTCAGCCATCCCCTTCCTCCAACAGCACCCGGACCCCAGCACGGTGGCCCTCCGGCCAGCCAGGCAGGGGCTGCTGTACCGCTGCCCGGCTCAGGGCTCAGCCCTTGCCCAGCTCGGCCGGGAAGGTGCTCAGGGTGGGGATAACGGACAACTGCTGGCTCGCCCCCTCCAGCCTTGGCTCCGGAGGCTGTGGAGGGTGCAGGACGCGGCAGGCGTAGCGGCATCCCCGGAGGCGTGCATGGGTCCTGCGGGGTCCCTGGCCTGGGGCCGGCCACAGCTCGCTCCCTACTGCCGGCC